ATGGATGGATGGATGGATGGATGGATGGATGGATGGATGGATGGATGGATGGATGGATGGATGGGTGGGTGGATGGATGGGTGGATAGAGGCATGGTAGAGAGGAAGGCAGGAGTAAAGCATTCTTCATCTCCCTCTTACCTCAGGGATTTTTTGATGGAATATCATACTGTTTTCCCTGTCACACTTTGCCTTTTTCTCTGTTACAAGTTTCCTTGTTCTACAAATTTTAAAATACTGAAATTAGAGACCTAAATAATGAGATATAAAAACAAGGAGTTCAACCTTAAAAGTATAACTACTGGTGCAACTATAAACATTAGTAGTTCAACATTAGGTACACCTATACCTTCTGTATCTCCCAAGGCCATTTTTAGTGCTGTAACACAACACTACCTCCCCTTGCATGACGGCATTAAAAAGTGTTGCAGAAAGATTACTATACCTTACAAAGCTTGCTGTTTCGCCTAGATGTATCTTGGTTTTGGGCTTGATTTTGTCATATTCCTACAAAAAACACACAAATGGAATGATGTTATTGTGCCAAAATTTACCCATAATAACAAGAATAACTAGAGAGCAGTACTCACTTTAGCAAGTGTTAAGGCTTGTTCAACATGTTTAGTTGCTTCAWTTAAAACTGCAATTGCATCTCCACACCTGGTGAATTTAACAGCAGGTATCATTGTAGCAGCAATATAATGCTCACTGTATAATCTCTACAATTGTTCACTGATCATCTCACTCATAAACATTGTTCTTCCTTGACTTCCTCTATTTCTCTCTTTTCTCCTTTCTTTCTTCATTTTGTCTATCTATACYYACCCTTTCTTTCTTTCCTTCTTCTCTATTTCCTGTACATATTTCATTCCTTCCTTCTTTCAATCCAACTATTCCTTCTTTTACCTACCCTTCTTCCATCATTTCATTTCATCCATCCATCCCTCCCTCCCTTCTTCCCTCCCTCCCTCCCTCCCTCCCTCCTATTCATTGCCCATCCTTTTCATCCATCCATCCATCCATCCATCCACCCAACAATATATATCTCTTTCTCCCTTCCTTCCTCTCTCTTTCTTCCATCCATACCGATACTTCCCCCATCAATCCATCCCCTAATTTTCACTCAATTAAAATCATTTTCAGAAAATTATCTACCTTTCTTCTGTCTCTAAGAGATGGATGCCTTGAAAACACCTTGAAAGTGCTAGATATGTTTCAGCTGTCCCAAAAAAATAAACAAGACAACAGGAGATTCATTTTTAAGGAAAATATTTACAGAACTGTTTCCTATTTTGGACCTAGAACTCATTTTCAAACAAAATCACACTAAAAAGCAAACATGAATATTGTAAAGCACAATCTTACTAACATTGGAATTTCAGGTACGTGGCCCATTTGTGTTCTAAGTGATGCTCCTCCTGTTAAAAGAAAAGCAGTTTTAAGACAATAAAACATAAAACACCAAAACATAACTTTTCCTTGTTCTTAAATCAGTGGCATTAAGCAAGAGTCCTATAGTTGTGAGAGAGTTGAGGAGCGTTTTAGCATAAATGCTTCCATCAAACTCTGTTAATTTGAGCAATAAAATAAACAATACACAAATCCCGAAGAAACCTTTCAAAGCACAGGAGAGAACCAACAAACAACAATCCCAAAGATCAAACCCAGGTCACATCTACGCCAATCACGCTAAAGGCGGGGCATGACCCAATCAGCCCCCTAAATCCACCCATGAAATGGAATGAATGAAATATCCCTCCCCYTTATATGCCATTGCCTTCACTTGAGCAGTTATTGTACTTCATAATTAAATGCTGACAGTGATTGACACCTACATCAGGTTGTTTTGCTGCAGATGAATATTTCTCAGCCACATCGGCACAAAGTTGACTGACAAGAGATGCCTTATGTCCCTTTTTGATGGCTCTGTCAATTGTGACACACTAGACATGATGGTAATACACTGAATTAGTGAACCTTTACTTCATTCAAAAAAGAGTGATGTGAAGGATTGTTGTGCATTCTAGTGTGGGTAGGGTATGAGGAAGGTACAATAATATTGTGTAGTTCCGTAAATTATCTAAGCTCCAAAGTTGAATCCAGAAAAAATTATCAAGCCTAATATTATTTACTAAATAATTATAAAGGCATAAAATCATGGAAATTGTGAACTGGAATGGGAACTTGGACTGGACACTGGTAAGCTGCTTGGATGTTGGAATGTTAAAAATCAGTTAATCAATTCAATTTCTTTGCTAAAATATGTTTCAATAGCTAGTTAACATATATCCATTAAAATTTAGCAAAGAAAAGCAGTTTTTAAAGTGTTTCGATCCGGAGATCCACTAAACCGAAGTCCAATCCATGGCCCATTCCAGGACATGATTCCGGATTTTCCAACTTAAAAATTCCTTAAAAATAGAATTTTAGTAAAAATAAAGATAAATCAGCAAATTAGCTAAAGTTTGTCAAGGTGAATATTACAATTTCACTGCATTAAATACAAAAAAGGATTGAAATTTCAAAGGGGTGGGGAGGGTCTGATGAGGGTATATTAGAGTTCCACAGAACATTCACACCACCCCCATGAAGGGGGAATGGAATTTCCAAGGAGGGAGAAGGGTATATGTTATATTCCCAAAAAATATTCATACCTATCCCATGCACTGGGAGATTGGAATTTTCAATAGATGGGTAAGGTCTTAGAAAGGTAACAGTTTGTAGTTAATAACTCAAACATAATACCTGTCCTTCAGCAAGAGATTGTAAATGGAGGGCTCTAATTGATGATGCTACAATATAAAAAATTAATAGAATTTATTTACTGTAGGAACTACTGTATCCATACCTCTCCCTTATAGAGCAGATCAGACTCTAGGGGTGTGGAGGCAAATGTACTATATATTGTGTACAGTACATGTAGCTCCAATAAAATATCTATACCCCATAATGGAAGGGGGTTGGAGTTCCCAAGAGGTTGGTAGGTATCAGGAGAGTATACTGAGTTATGTGTATGATAGTATATATGAAGTATATATTTGTACTGCGGTTGTAATGTATCAAATTAAACTGACCCTCGCAGTGTATATGAAGCAACTTACTGTATGCAGCTGCAAATTGAAAGTCTCAGAAAAAATTCTGAGTCTTAAACAGGATTTGAACCTCTGCCCTGGCTATTCGTGTGCCATGCTCTAACAACGGAGCTACCAAGTCTCATACTGAGTAATATACCACAATGTAAAGTACACATATTTGTTTGACATGCGTCTTACCATCAATATCTTTGTTGCCATGRGATACATGACCCAGAGATTTCAGGCATTCAAATATTCCTGCAGCAGTCTTTAAAGACTGCAATGACTCCTGTGCATCAAAACAGAGAATATATCTTTTTAATTATATGATACATAGGTCTCAAAAGGCAAAACTCAGCAGACACTCTCAGCACACTTGACTCGTTGTCTTTTGCTCATGGGTTTCACCTTCATTTTATCTTCATTTTCTTCATCTTCCTTCATGCTCAAGTTCAACTGAAAGATAATCATAAAAAATTAAAATATAATTGTAAGTAATAATGGGGATTAATAAATGGGGATTAAATGGAAATAGTTCTTTGCGATTTACAATGATGAATTGATGGTTGATGATGATAATGTAGCTATTGTGATGGTGATAATAAATATTATGGTGATAATGACGTGATATTGATGATGATAATTGATGATGGTGATTGTGATGGTATTGATCATGATSGTGATGATGATGGTGATAATGTGGTGATAATGATGATGGTGATGATTATGGTAATGATGGTGATAGTGATGATGATAATGGTGATGTCRATGATGATGCTGATGATGATGATTAGTGATTGCTGATGACAATGACAATGAAGCATGACAAAGATACTAAAAGTGCAAAAAAAGAATTCCCACCTGATTAGCATGATCCATGTGCCATAATCCCACAGCAACAAGCAGAGATGCAACATCAAATTCAACATCATCTGATGTTACTTTATCCTCATGCAGAAAGTTAGTCCACTTGAATCTGTGAAGAAACAACACACAGGAGTTTCATTGAGGGTCAGGGATCGAAGAATGCTCCAATAAATTAGCCAAATTCTTGGCTTAAACTACCACTATAGCTTAGTAATTAATAATGAATCTTTTCCTTCATCATCACYATCATCATCATCATCATTTATGGTCCATACCTGAGTCTTGAGCTGCTACGAGCCTAAAATTTAAAAACATTTAACATTTTAGGGCATTAGATTTTTATCCTCTTATTGTGTAGTCAACTACACCTTCTACAAAGGTGATCAATCATGATGTAGAGTGAAAACTGTAGCMRATCAGAAGAGAGGAGAAACCGTAGCAAACTCACAAGATCTTGGCTTTGTTGCTTGATTCTGATTGGCTAATGTTACATGGCTTTGTTTTTATTCTGCATCATGATTGGTTAAAATTTGGTGTAGCCTGCGTAGKGGCCCAAATKGGGGAGGGGGTGGGGGCCTGTGGAGGAGGGGCAAGCAGACCCCCACCCTTTCGCCCCTTCCCCCCCCCCCCCCCCCCCCCCCCACAATTTGGGCAGCTAAGCAGGCTAAGTTTGGTCAAACTGTTTGAGTGCACAGCTATAGCAACACAATTAAAAAAMAATAGAATACAGTACCTTCTTCTTGATGCTCTGAAGGGTATCCCGTACTGTCAGATACTCCACTAAATAGTTCATGACTGTTTCCGACAAATCATCTGTGTGATTCAGAGCTTCTTCTACTCCTTGTCGTCTGGATGCAATGAAGAATACAAATTTAAAACACAACTTGACTGTATAATGTATAGTATGAGTGGAAAACGTATAGCAGTACGACATGCCGTAGAGCAGTTTTCAGATGAGTGGGAAGGTCCAGTCACCCTGGGATGCAGAGATATTCTCACTGACCAGCATTTGCTGTTTTGACAGGAGGTCTCTTAAGGTTATTAAAAACTACAATGAGTAGTTACGGCTATGTTAAGACACTGTATGTCTACTGCATGGCTACGAATTTGCTGTTTTGTTTCCCATTCATACAAAAACTTCTTTTTTGACAAGAAAACTTATCCTAAAAAGCTGGATYGTACAGGTGCAAATTGTAAGAAAATCAAATGAAATTCCAGCAAGTGAAGTTCATGTAAGCTATACTAAGTTATAAAACTTAAAGCAACAAGTAAACTGTTCAATTCAAAATTCTTCTTTATATCTTATTTTTTTCCCACGCTAAAAAAAACAAAGGAAAAATAAACTTTGAAGTAAAATCTTAAAAGAAAAATTCAAGACGGCTTTCAGCTTCATTTAGCTCAAAATCTTTATAAAATTTTACGTAAACAAAAAAGCTAAAAGGTAGAAAATTATAGTTTACGTAATAAGAGAGCATCATAAGGAGTTTTTGAGGATATTTTTTGGGAATATTTACCTTCTAGTGACTTCATGTGCTGCACTTCGTATCTCAGCTGGAATTCCGTCAAAAGCTTTGCCAAAGTTGAGGTGCTCAGTTTGTTTCTTTATTCTGGCCGGATGAGCCATTTTGAGTTCATAAAAATACCTTGAAGTCCGCAAGGAAGCGTTAAATTATTCCATTYAAGGAGGAAATTAACTTTTGACGAGTATAAATAACTTTTAAAACGTTTGCAGCAGAGAACTTTTTGTTTTGTCAAGAAAAACACAACAAAACCTGCGCGCGCAAGTGTAACACAGGTATCCCAATTATGGGGGAAACTTATGGTGACAGAAGTAGGATTACAGTTACGAATCTTCATGARAAATTTATATGTTTAACATTTTATTTATTCATTATTAAAATAAGGGACTTAAATAATGAGTTAGGCAAAGGCATAACGTTTTAGGTAAGTCTGGCAACAAATTATTTAAAATGTCCACATTTCAAAGTTTATATTTCTAAGAGTTTTCAACGCGATAATTTATCTATTTGATTTTAAATCAATTTTTTAAACATTAGCGCTGTTACACACAGCACTTTGGAACACACAAAGTCAGGCAATGTCTTGAAGTTGTTGAAGRAAGCAGAACTGTATTTTATTTTTCACAACGTGTTGCGACAACGCTGCAAAGCGCGCGTGACAGCCCCATTCTCGTGCGTGCGCGTAGTTTGCATCGAAAGGCAGGGTATAAGGAACATTACCAGTGTGGGATTGGGTCCAGATGCTTAAAAATGGTGACAAATTTTGTTTTTGCAATCAACTTACGTTGTCATTCAATGTGGGACCTCCTATAATCACRAAGAACTCAAACAATAATCTTAAAATCACTGTAAATTAATAATGATATCAAACAGGAATTACTCTTTAACTCAAATAAAAAATTAGACAATTTAACTAGAGAGTAAATTTGAGAATAACTTGTAAAAATCATATTTTTGGCGAGAAAATACTTGGCAAAAATTGGAAAGAAATCGTGTCTTTCATATTAGTCTGAATGTTGTCAAATAAATTTAACTTAGAATTATATTATTCATGAGAACTTTCACACATCTAATCAGTCCTTTTTCCGCTTTGTTCTATTGTCTGTCTTGCCTATGTAATGGTCTTGCCTCAATATAATTATTCAAAGTTATTCAAATTTATTTTTTCAATGATTAAGWTATCATCCAATATCATTGCCGTCTTATCAAACTTCTTATTTTCTTCTAGTGAGAGGATTTATAGAAATAATATATCTAAACTCMTTTTACATTTCATCATTTTAGCAATATAGTGCCGCGAGTAAWGAACAAATTAAAAAGATATATCTATATTGGTTATGAACTTTYAAGTCAAAGACGGCGTATAATTAGAATACTAATAGATAGATATCCAGACAGATGTGAACTGATACGAGTGTTTGAATTTAGATGCCGATTTTATAAGGCAATATTAGATTTTTATGAGCGGAAAATATGATAAAATGGACTTTGAATCTCGAGTTTAGAACGAGACTTGAGTTTCGTTAACTATAGTTTCTTATTCATYTAAAATTTGACGGATTCATTTAATCAGTGTTGAATTTGAATGAAACGCTAATGTTACGCTTTTACTTAGTTAAATAAACTTGCTTTTCAATAAATTAAAAAATTGGAAGGTTTTTTTTGCGAAAAGAAGTAAAAAGATATATGAAAAGACGAATGAAAGAGGATTTTTTTAGGGGCTAGTGAAATTTTTTAAAATCATTAACAGCTACATTTGTCTCGTAAGTTTTTGCATTTCATTTCAAACGGAAGCATTTWAAAAATATTTTGAAATTCGCCCAAAAACAATGGCTCATTCAAATCCTGTAAAACTTAAACATTCATGTTTCGACAATAATTACAAAATCACACACAAAAAAGGTTTTTTAATTTTCAGTTTATAAATTAYATACCTTGTTTTGCGCGCCGGCATACACAGTGAGAGTTCAGCGTTTTATAAACTATTTCTATTTTTGCATCTTTTTGGATTAAACATTATTTAGTTTTTAAGATAGTCAGAGCCTTAAGGTCTGAGAGCTTCTTAGTCTTTAAATTTCAAATTAGTAACATTCACTCATGTTCATTTTTATCGGTTTCGTCCGTATAAAARCTCGAATTGGCTTCACATTTTTTAGTTGGCAAGAAAAATGTCGTACGGATTCTATATTGTCAGGATTAAGGTATTTTATTTATTGAGATGAATAATGCATAGATTCACCCAATGTCCGGAAAAGACCAGTCAAAGAAGTATTTTTTATCGATGTATGTGACGTGGTACTTCTATCAACAATATACGAATCCATCTGCCTTTCATTAGAATGCAAAGCGCATTGTTTCAAGTCAAAACACTCCCAGTCTAATCTCAATGGTTTCTCAATTCTACAACTGAAAAATATAGTCGACCCCGGGATACATTTATTCCTTCTTTTAAGGAAAGACTTGTATATACTGAAACACCAAAATGGACTGAGACGTGAAGAGTTTGAATGAATGTGAAATATGTTTTCATTTGGGAAGGTTAAAGAGCGCACCACCTCGGCAGAGTCAATACCACATTCAGAACTCGAAGAACGACCGGGAAAACTCAAACGCCATGGAACGCTTCAAAGYCTAGAGGTTTTTCAAGCTTGGGCCAAGGATTCTTTTCTTAGAGAAAGTACAATAGATATTCTAGTTAGTGAACATGAAATTGATTGTATCCCTGCGGTTTTGGCGTTGAAAAGGGACGACATTGCCGGCTTAGGTTTGCCCGTTGGTCAACAAAGACTCCTCGAAGGTGCGGTTGAAAAACTCAAGCAGGAATATGAGCTAGTTAGGCCACCAACTCCGGTCACTAAAATCAATCTGGACATGCCGGCTTATAGATCTATGTTAGAATTCAACGAAAAGCCAGGGACATCGTATGCTGAGCCRACAGGAGGGAGTGAGAGCTCTCGCTCTTTTTCAAGTCATGGCGGTGACAGCTCGCGCGAAGTTTCGCGGGCTTTTTTGACTTCGCCCGAAAGAGAAGAACTCCTAAGGCCTGACCAACAGCAATCTAGAAAAACAACTGGATACCGCAATGAAGGTGAGTCTACAACACGTATTATATTTTAATAGATTTATATGAATAAGTATTTGTCTTTTTGTATTTTTTGTCTAATTGTGGTAAAGCTTTGAATTGGTTGATCTTTCAAAAATATCTATGATGACCGCATTATTTGTGAATGAATGTTTTACTGAAGATTTATAGCGTTTACGAACCGCGAAAAACCATACTTTGATCATTCTTGGTTTAGCTTTTGTCTGAGTAATTGATTKAAATGTTCTTTGAAGTTACATTAAAAGCGATTTCGAAGGTAGTTAATTTATTTTATAGACTGTATTGCATATATAAATGACAGGTCTGGGAGACGGTTTGTGTATTCATACTGATATATCGCGCATGCATCTGTTTACTGAAAGTTTGCGACACAATATCAAGGAAAACACGAAGTTTAACGGACAATCACGTTTAGGTTCACGAAAAAAATCTTGAAAATTCTTGGGGGAAAATATTTTGGACACAAATTACTTTTTTATATTCGCGCTGAAGCGCAAGTTCTTAACGCGCGCGCTTGTAAATCACAGTAACCCCCACACATAACGATTATTTGTAAACCATATACGCGCACAATAACTTGCGCAAGCTACGTACATTCCCACACACAACCCACGTAGAGTATTTCACAATTTCTATAATGAGTTATATTCATAATCGGACGTATAAGAGAMATGTACATATACGATTATTTGGAGAAATTTTTAAAACATTCATGGCCAGTAAAGCCCTCACTACATTTTCTATCCGTCCGTCGCAAATATTTAACCAAAATATCGCGGTCTTAATCAAGTCATTGATAAAATAATAGACACATTGGTTTTTGTCCGAATTTTTGGCTGGTAAATATCGGCTAATTTTAGTCAGCATTAATTTCCCAAAGGAAGGACCTCTCTAGGATTTGAAGCTCAAAATGTCAAGTGTTTGTAGTTTGTACTTATCCTTGTCCGTCTCGAATCCAGAATTTATTTTGCMTTGAGGGGAAATAAGGCTTTATGACAGCGCAGAACGGGTAGATCGATAATAGGATTATATATAGGGAGAAATGCAAATTTAGCGCTGGTGGAAAAGTGGGAAAATAATCTGCATTGGGTGCATGCATATAACTACTGCGCACTATTGAAATATCTGGATACACTCTATATCTTTTACATAAGAATACGATGTTTCCATTTTTTCAGTGTTTTCAATAAATAATTTGTTCAACAATTGAGGTTCTTTTTTTTTTTTTTTTTTTTCTTT